CCAAATACTCCTGCACTCAATAAGCTGTCTTATTTTGTTACACTTACTTAATGTTTAAAATCTTACCCTTAACTCTGGAAGAAAAAAAAAAGCAGTATTTTTTGCTCTGAATTTCAAACACATCAAAAATTTTAATAATAAGGTAAGCCTGCATACAAATGGTATATGTTTTTACTGTTCAAAGTACTTGGTATTTACTGGGCTAATCTTGTCAGACTGGTAACATGCAGTCCAATGAAGGAAAGTACAGATTAATTGTGTATAAGCCAAGGTGAAAGGACACTATAACAAAAAAATAGAATAAATAGAATAAATAGAATTAAGGGGAAGCCAAAATATCAGGTGACAGCATCAAATATTTTGTATTAATTCTCAAATCATCAATATGATTTATAGAAATATTTAGTTTCCCTGTTACCCTAGACCTCATTTATTGTAGAACCATAGTAGTAATTCTTAATGGTATTGATAGTCTGATTTTGCTTGTGGCTGATTTCTATCTTAGCATCATTTTCAGAATTTAAATTTTATTTACTGATTTGGATTTGAATTTTTTTAACCATTCTTTTAAATGTCCAAGTCAATGAAAAAGGAATTAATCAAATGAGTTTATTTATGCAAGACTATAATAATATATTACTGAGAAATAGACCCCATGTGATACAAATGAAAGAACAGAAGACATAAAGTCGTGGTCACATGAGAGTTGTGTTGTTTTACGTGATCCCAGACAGGGTCATGTCTGTGTGGCCATTAACCCATTTCTCAGCTTCAGTTTCCTCCTCCACAATGGGGGAAATGACACAAGTCATACATTTATTTCAGTACTATTTCAGAATGAAGTGGGAGTATTCATTTTGAAATTTATGAAGTGCTACTTAGAAATGTTATACACACAGATAAAAGCAAGCAATATTTTAATTGTAACTTTGCCACACATAACCTAATACGCCATGAACTTTAGGATAATATGTCTGGGTTATCAGTTTTTTGATACTACACTGCCATCAGTCAGTTCAATCACTCAGTTGTGTCCTACTCTTTTTGACCCCATGAACCGCAGCATGCCAGGCCTCCCTGTCCATCACCAGCTCCCTGAGTTTAGTCAAACTCATGTCCATTGAGTCGGTGATGCCATCCAACCATCTCATCCTCTGTCATCCCCTTCTCCTCCCACCTTCAATCAGGGTCTTTTCAGATGAGTCAGTTCTTCACATCACATGGCCAAAGAATTGGAGTTTCAGCTTCAGCATCAGTCCTTCCAATGAATATTCAGGACTGATTTCCTTTAGAATTGACTGGTTGGATCTCCTTGCAGTCCAAGGGACTCTCAGGAGTCTTCTCCAACACCACAGTTCAAAAGCATCAATTCTTTGGCTCTCAACTTTCTTTATAGTCCAACTCTCACATCCATACATGACTATTGGAAAAACTATAGCTTTGACCTTTGTTGGCAAAGTAATGTCTCTGCTTTTTAATATGCTGTCTAGGTTGGTCATAACTTTCCTTCCAAGGAGTAAGGAAATTAAGTCTCTTAATTTCATGGCTGCAGTCACCATCTACAGTGATTTGGGAGCCAAAAAAAATGAAGTCTCTCACTATTTCCATTTTTTCTCCAACTGTTTGCCATGAAGTGATGGGACCAGATGCCATGATCTTCATTTTCTGAATGTTGAGTTTTAAGCCAACTTTTTTACTCTCCTCTTTCACTTTCATCAAGAGACTCTTTAGTTCTTCTACACTTTCTGCCATAAGAGTGGTCATCTGCATACCTTAGGTTATTGATATTTCTCCTGGCAATCTTGATTCCAGCTTGTACTTCATCCAGCCCAGCATTCTTATTATGTACTCTACATACGAATTAAATAAGCAGGGTGAGATTATACAACCTTGACGTATTCGTTTCCCTATTTGGAACCAGTCTGTTGTTCCATGTCCAATTCTAACTGTTGCTTCCTGACCTGCATACAGGTTTCTCAAGAAGCAGGGCAGGTGGTCTGGTATTCCCATCTTTTAAAGAATTTTCCACAGTTTGTTGTGATCCACACAGTCAAAGGCTTTGGCGTAGTCAGTAAAGCAGAAGTAGATGTTTTTCTGGAACTCTCTCACTTTTTTGATGATCCAGCGGATGTTGGCAATTTGATCTCTGATTCCTCTACCTTTTCTAAATCCAACTTGAACATCTGGAAGTTCACAGTTCATGTACTGTTGAACTATACTGCCATACTTAAGACATTATAACCAAAAAAAAAAAAAAGTGAATTTTTTTTTGAAATATTGGTATTGGGATCATGAGCTCTTACCATTTTTAGAAATTAAGATCCCTTTAAGCATCTAACGAAAGCTGAGCATCCTCTCCCAGAAAAATATTCATGTCACGTACAGATAAGAATTTTGCAGAGAATTTCAAACATGTCCTTATCCTTGGATCCTAATAAAAAGCACATCTCTACCTCAGATTGACATATAGTAGGAGTTTGGTCACTTGGCTTCTTTCCTTTCAGATTTCTGGGTTTTCCACACCATCACAGTCTTCTACTATGGACTGTTAAAGAAGTTGTCTTCCTACCTGTCTATGCCTCCACCCATTCCTTGCTTTAGCTATGTAGCTTCTAAGGTCTGTCTCTTACACAGTCTTGGTTCCTGTGTTCAGTCCCCCCCAGCCAGCACTGCCATTCTCCGGCATGTTCCATCAGTGCTCATTCCCAGTGAGGGAGCGAATGGAGGCTAGAAACCTCCCCAACAAATGCAAGACGCAGAGACTTTGGACAGAAATGGCAGCTGCAAGTAGGTCAGCACTGCCCATTGCAGCAAGGCCAGCACAGAGGAGAATCATCAGAAAAACTAAACTGTTAAGACTTTCACCAATTTACAAATCTAATCCTTTGCAGTCAAATATTTGAAAATTTTTGTGACTGAGTTCATTTGTAAACAGCTCTTGATTCAGAGCCTCTGGAATCTGACCATTCCCCTCCTCTAGTAATACAATATGAAAGTGCTTTTTAAACTGTAAAGAACTGAAACAGTGTAAGGGAGGATCACGCTGGATTATAATGTGATTTGATGAGATGTGAAGAAAAGTTATACATCATCACCTCCCTTTGTGTGAAATGTCAGCCAGATGAACAAACAGACCAAAGTGCCCCCCCTTCCTCCCCGGTAGTTAATCTATCAACTGTATATTTTTCCAGGTTTGTAAAATTTTAATCCCCAGATCTTCTACTTTTGCACTAAATCTTCAGCCTTTTCAACTCTTTTAACTGTATATCATTTCACAAATGGCCCTCAGTATCTAGTGTCTTTAGACACTACCACCTTTAATTTAAATCAGCATGTGTTAACAACAGCCAGAAGAAAATTGAGCGCAAATATTTTTGAATGCAGACATATTCTTAGAATACTAGGAGACCGCAGTGTTCTTATTTTGTAGCTTCAGCAACAATCATCCTCCATGTCCAAAAATGTTCCTGGTTAGAAAATGAGAATAAGCACATATAAGTTCTTCATGAGCCAGGGAGATTCACTGTTGTGAAACTGGGGTTTTTATTATCTGATATTGGTTTAAATTTCTGTATTTTAGTGCCACTGTGAGAATCTTATTTTTAAAATAAAATCTAGAAGCAGGTAGCATACTATTTAACAATGAATATGAAGTGCTGAATTGGAGTATTATTTTATGCTTTTTAAAATATTATCGGTATTGCCAGGTGAATGTTGCAGTAATATTATCATGTTGATAACCAGCATTGATTTTAAGATTTGCACATTACATAAGCAGAAACCACAAGACACAAAGATTTAAGGTTCAAAAATGCTGCTGAGGCAGCATTAACAGTGAATTAGATTCCCATTAGGTCCTGTTCAGTGAAAGGGGATCTGCATGCGTAGAGTTTAAAGGAATTTAAGAGAGAGAGAGAGAGAGAAATTTTTAATTCAAAATGCCAACAGGCATCATTTGGTATTAGAAGCATGGGTTGCACTGTTTTCTGTGTGAGCTTTCATCACCGTTCAGAATTCTTCCTTTTTTAATGCAGTAATTTATTTTTGATAGACAATAAATTAATAGCACATGATAGAGAAATTGCTCTTTTTTAGAGGGAGAAAAGACATTTGATGCAAAGGAAGACTGAGAGCATGGCTATGAAATTTGAGGCTATTAGATACTGTATTGTAACTAATTTTTTATTAAGCTTTCTTATGTTTGTTGTATCAAATTAGACTTACTAATGTTAGCTGAGTTAGAATGTTTTTGATTCTTTTAATCTAGAACTATTATTAAATATTTCTCAGGTTTTTTTATCTTGCAGACCTCTGATGAATCATTCCATTCCTTCAAACCAAGTGGCTCTTTTTAAAGCTTTAGAACCATTTAATTTTATAGAAACAACATTCTATAAAAAGAAGTTAAAATATAACCATTTTTCTGCAGAAAGAAACACATTAGAAAACAAAATGACATTGGTAATATGAAGAGAAAGATCTTTGTGGGCATTCAAAACACCAAGGAATTTTGAGGCCATGGTGAAGAGCAGGCTAGTTAAAATGGAGAAATCAAAACAAGATATCTTTCTTTACTAATGTACCATCTCCTGAAAATTAGCAGAAGTTAGTCCTGAGTTGCTAAGAATGAACCCCTGGTGCTGCCTTCCCTGAAGCACAGAAATAGGAAGTGGTGGAAGAAACTTGGAATAGAAGCCTTCAGGGATTCCTCCTCGTTTCCCCTGTGATCCCTTGAATCCCTGAATTGTCAAACCACGTGGAAAATAATAGAGCTTCGTAGTTCTAAGTCTTAAGTGGTATTATCTTTAAAAATATATATATTACATCTTTTCACATCTCTGAACAAGAATAGGGCATGTGTTCAGTGTAGAAAAGTGTAGCTTTGAGCAAGAAATTCATATTGCTTTTTCATTTTTAATATTATTATTACCTATGACTAAGTTTGCACCCAGTAGGAAAAACAATTATGGCCAATATTTTATTTTCCTTTTTAAAAACAGATGATTCAACGAGAAGCAGATGTGAAAAGTAAGGTGACTGCTGTGGCGTTGACAGACTCTGTTCACAATGTGTGGCATCAAGAAGCTGGCAAAACGGTTCGAGAATGGATGAGAGAGGTGAGATGATTTTTTTTTGTTTTTTTCAGTGCTGAGATGAATGAGTGTGAGCCTTTTATATCTGGAGCCCCCACCAACTTATATCACCTCCCACCCGCAAGCTCCCTTTCTGGAGGCAGAACATTTAGAGGGAATAGAGAAAACCAGACATGGTTGAAATAATAATAGAAAACCCTTCGGAAAAATGATTGCTTTTTTGGGAGCCCCCTCCCCCACCCCCGCCGCCGTTTTGGGTTTTTTTTGGCTTTCTGTGAACTATATGTATGCATATAACAGATAGTAGGAACTTTGGCTGAATATGGTCATGATCTGTTAGGTTATTATTCCCCAATATTTATTTTTCCCACCAGCTATTTATCATTAATGCTGTTTTAATTATAGGAAAGAAGTGGTCAGTGTATGTCTCTCTTAAATGGATGGCTCACTGCTGCCAGTAGGGGGAGAAGAAGTAAAAAGCTGAAACAGTGCTTTGCAGACCCTTGAGCTAGGAGAAACCCATGGTCCACCTTAGGCTAAGAAAGCTTTTCATACTTACAAAGGGCTTGTGAATCTGAGAGTGTACAAGAACTCATTCCGTGTGGCTCAGACAGTAAAGAATCTGCCTGCAATACAGGAGATCTGGGTTTGATCTCTGGGTTGGGAAGATCTCCTGTAGAAGGAAATGGCTACCCACTCCAGTATTCTTGCCTGGAGAATTCCTTGGACAGCCCATGGGGTTGCAAAGAGTCAGACGCGGCTGAGCGACTAACACTTTCACGCTTTCATTGAACATGCTTCCAGTTCTCAAACAGCTTTCAGCTCATCATTTCCTTGATTCCTATTGCAGATATATAGCTGAAATTTCTTTTTTATTTATATTTACCTTCCTGACATTATAAGAAGTTAACATCAGCCATACCATGCTTTAGCAATTTTTTAATCAAATCAATACATATATTTATAAGAATGAGCTGGTTGACCTTCCTGATTTTCTTCCAGTTTTTTTTTTAATAGAATACCCAGCTATTTATTCAGCTGACCTCTCACCATAGGGACAGTGAATAACTTCTCCCAGTTCTCATGGTATACTGTAAGGATCAGAAAGTTAATGTTTAAAAAGAGTTTTGAACAAACAGAAAGTCTAAAGTATGTAATCCCTTAGTGGTGTTGCCATATCACCAGTCTCTTTTCACTGTTGTTATTCTCCATTAGAAAAAGTGCTTTCCTCATGCACGAGTCCAAAATACTTTTACTTCACCTCTCACAATAAACATATAAAGGTGGGATTTTTTTTTTTAATCCATTCTAACACCGGGGTGTTTTCTGACCACATTGCTGATCGCATTTTCTCCTTTCACAGTTTAGCTACATCCTTTATTGTCATTTCCAAGGACCTAAATTCTCTTAAGAGAAATTTTGTACATTTTATGACAATTACTTTTTATCCATCCAAATGTATAGATAACCAGCTCCTAGTATTATATAACTAGTAAGGTTTATAAATGATCTGTTGGTACCTTTTTCCCACAACATAACCAATATAGAATTTAGTACTTACCCCAAACTAGAAACATCCCTGTTTATCATTTTTTTAAATTGTAAGTTCTTCATATTCCAGGTGAGACATATAAAAAAAATTTACCTAGATTTATTTTTTAAGTATTTCTAAGACTGGATTAGGCATCCCCTTCAAAAGTCAGAATATATTGATCTGTACATTTTTTTCATCTGACTGAAATAGGGAGTAGCTGAATTCATCTTAATTTAATCAAAGAAGAGATAGAAAGTAACCAAAGGGACTTCTTACCTTGGGCTCCAGGCCTGTAAGGCTGAGTGGGCAAAGATAAACTCACTTAGCATAAGGAGGACATTATGCTAAGTGAAATAAGCTAGACACAGAAGGAAAAGTGCTACATGGTCTGACTTACATGTGGAATCTAAGAGTCAAATGCACAGAAGCAGAGAATAGGATCGTGGCTCCTGATGTCAGGAAGGTGGGGGAAACGGAGATGTTGGTCAAGGATTGCAGGGGTATAGAATGTACAAGTCTAGACTCCTAATATGCAGCATGATGACTGTACTTCATAATACTATTTTGAATACTGGAAATTTGCTAAAAGGATAGATTTCAGGTTCTCTCACCACACAGTCTGAAAAATGCTAGCTGTGCAAACGAGAGCATATTAATTGGCTTGATTACAGTTATCATTTCACTGTGTATATGTATATTAAATCATCATGTTATACAACTTAAATATATAGTTTTTATTAAAAAAAAAAAAAAAAGGCTGAGTGGGCGAATATCATTTCCTGACATATCCCTGGTCTCTGAAAGTCTGCTGCCAAGCCAGATGTGTGCTTCTACGTAGTAATCATGAGCCGTCACCCATCCCATTCAGTTCTGAGCATCTGTCCTGGAGATACAACCTGGTGAATATTAGCTGTTCTCTAAGGACACCACACCTTGCATATTAAAGATCAACCTATAGACATTAATGATTTACAACTCATAACAGTGAGTAAAAATCTACACTCAACCAGGGGAACAAGCATCTCCAAATACTTCCAAATACCTTGCACAGGAATACCTACTGCCTGCTTCTCTCTCTAAACTTCATACATTAAGGTATAACCTTTTTATAAAAACTTTTCATTCACTTCATATCTGCACTGAAGTATTGTCAGCCCTTGATTTAGATGGCAGTGTCACTCAGCACTGTGACCTAGTAGGCACTTCTAAGTTTTTATTAATAACCGCAAAATTTTGGATTTCACAAAGAGGACAGCGTACAGCCACAAAAACCTGTAAAGTCATTATTTCACAGTAAAAGACTTTTAAATGGAAAATGCTATATTGAGGACATCACTATATTGCCTCTTTTTTCTCTTTATCCCTCAGACCCAGAGAAACTGTAGTTACAGGATCCATCTCAGTCTGCTGGCTCTGGCCAGAGGCTTCTTTCTCTCTGCTTGTTGGTTGGAATGGGGCTGGGCTGCATCTGAGGCTCAAGTTGGCTCTGTTGGTCCGTCTAGCCCAGCATGTCTTGTTGTCCACTCAGGACGACTGAGAATAAGATGGCTGGGGTCTGGGAACACCTCCAGCACGATTTGAGTTTAGTAGGGCTTTCCTGATGGGCTACTTCTATCATCATCCAAGACACCTCGCTAGTGTTCATCTCAACTGAAGAACTGGGACAGGATGCAAACAGAGCACTGAGAAGCGGGGTAGAATAAGCATTAGAAAAGCAGTGAAAAGAGAAACACGTCTCAGAGTAGAGAATACATTTGATAAGATGGAATTTCAGATTGAGTTCTTATGTCATGGTGTATGTCTTTCCCATGTTTCCTTCCCTTCATATACTTCCGAGTTTGTTTACATTATTTTATTTCATTACACTCTGTCATATGGCAAATATATTTTTAGCTGGTTTTGTCCTTTTCTCTGTATGCTTTTCCCAGTGGTATCAAAATGTCACACAAACATGAACACACCACACTTGTATGTCAACTTATGGTATCAAACCTTTACAATCCTGTACCAGTACTTTGTCATTGCAAAGAACTTTTGGACATATTTACTTTAACTGTAGGGTGTTTATTTTCTATCCCGATTTTATGAGAAATCAAAACCTAAACATTTGCCTAGATAAAAACTGAAATTTCAGAATCATAAAATGGTAACCTGTATTTTGCTTTAAATATTTTGAGTTTAAAGGTGACTTGGATAAAATCCATTTTGTACATTTTAAAGTCAATGATAGCAAGTTAAAAAATTATTAATCAACTGCATACTATAATGTACCATTACTGTTATTAATACTGAAAATATCCTATAATACTTACATACATAAAGTGTAAGTGAACAGTATTAAGACTGACATATCACCTGGGTTATAGCTGACTTTCATCAGATTTGGAGGTACCTCTAGGATGAATAATAATTAAAACATATACCTAATCGCTGCCTTTCTGTCAGTAGAGCTAATTGCTGTCATTGAAAAGACTAAATTGTTTAAGAATTAAGAAAAAGAGAGGAAAGAGAAAGTCATTCTTCAATGAAGCTATCTTCCAGTATCACTTCAAGCCTATTTTTAGTACCTATAGAAGTCATGATTTTTGAATTTATTAGGGGTTGTGATGAATGATAAAACAAATCATCCATTTACATATCTTGACACTGCTTTGGAGAATACTTATTTCTTACAAGCAAGTGTCACATTGTATATAAAAGCTGGCTAATTGTGTGCTAATCTTCTGCATTATCTAGAACTCTCTGATATGGTATTCTATCAATAGTAATATTAATTTTGCTTATTTCAAATGTATGAAATATCTTCTAAGACCCTATTTCTTTTATAATTTCTTATCCCTTACATTGTATAATTTTGCATTCAGCTGCTAATTAAGATTAGGAGTGCAAATTATAGAATACATATCCACTTTAAACCATCAAGCTTTTGTAATACATGCAAATAGTAATATTTTACCCATTTTAAGTGTAAAAAGAAAGAAAACATTTAAGAACATTACTAGATGTTGTGTTTGTTTTCATGTTTTTTTTCCCACACAGTTCAGTAGCTTCATTGATCTACTGTTTCTTACAAAAATCTGCGATGCTTTGTGAATTTCACTTTCTAATCTCAGACAGCAACCCTTCCTTTATGTTATTCCTGCTCTCCCTGGTCCCAGAACAGTAGGGTTGCCTTGACAAATCTATTCAAAAGCCATTCCTCGGCCTTTATTGGTGGGGACTGGGGCCTTTGAAATTCTCTCCTCACTGCAACACAGCTGACATCTTCTTCCAGACAGAATGAATTAAGGAAATACAATAAGACACTTGATCTACCAGTCAAGGATCTTTCCACAGTGAGGATGGACTCCATGGTGCACAACCAGGACAGCAAGCATCTAAATATACACAACACATGCTTGTTTACGAGAATAGCAATCAGCGATTTTTCCGACATGATTGATAGGATGATTTCTTTTAAAATAAAATCTGCCTGGAAGGTCATTGTGTGTGTGTGTGTCTGTGTATGTGTGTGTTGGAAATTTTTTTAAAGCCATAGAAGGTTAATCACATTTTTAAAGCCATACTTCAAATGTTGTTGTATGCATGCCTGCTCAGTCATAGCCAACTCTTTGCCACTCCGTGGATTATAAACCACCAGACTCCTCTGTTCATGGAATCTTCCAGGCAAAGATACTGGAGTGGATTGTCATTTCCTTCTCCAGGAATATTCCCAACCTGAAACTGAACCCATGTCTCCTGCATTTGCAGGCGGAATCTTTACCACTGTACCACCTGGGAAGCCCCCAGACTTTAAATATACACTTAAAATGTATAGAAGGAATATAGATTATTTCTATTTCATCTAAGTTGTAAATCATCATCTTAGAGGTTTGTCTTCAATACTGAAGGTTTTGTGTCCTCAGAGCTACAGTTCACCTGATGGTGTTTCTTTTGATCTGTTTGATATAGCCTTCACTGTACCAAGTTGAAATAAAAATTAAAAGATTTTATGTTTATATGGGCCATTTTGAGGATTAGTTGCAAAATTTATTTCCTCTAGTATTACAGAGACAATATCATTTTAAAATAATGCTGTTTTTTACATGTTCAAATTAATATTTATTTTCATCTAAAAACTAAAACTAGACACCCTTTTCAATTTCCTTTAATTAAAATACTAGACTTCTTTTATAAGTATATTGCATCATGGTTCACAGAAGGTTACATGTCTTCTTAATATCAGGACAGATAATTTGCTAAATTGTAGAAGATAAATTTTTTTCCACTTTGTTTGAAAAAAGTTTAATTACTGATTGCTTACATAAGAGGATTTCTTATAGTATATAAAGGTAGAGTTGATTGTATTGATTGTTGATTGTATTGGATAGATTGTATTGGACACAATCAATTGCTGATTATATTGGATAGATTAATCTCTATAGCCTAACAAGTTGGTCTTGCCTTAAATTGTGTTTCAACAGAACATTGTCTCTGTTACATTGCAGAACTGTTGTAATTGGGTCTCTAGCTCAGAACCATTAGACACGTCAGTGGAGTCCATGCTGCCTGACTGTCCCCGAGTCTCAGCAGGTATGTCTTTGATGAGAGATGTATAGAATGCTTTTAAGGTGAAAAAATGTGCTCATGAAATGTGGTATTCTATTTTGTGAATTAAGCATGTTGTTTTGCCTTGAATCTGAATGAATTATTGGTAACATATGGCATGGGTCTGACACTACCAAAAATGCATTAAGTGGTTGAAGATGCTTACCAACAGACTCAGTGAAGAAGAATAGATGAAAACAACTTGAGAGTAATATAGACAGTTGCTGTTGAAGCTTAGGGAGACAAGATGTACAATTAAAACCTAAGTAAAACAAGGACTGGATAGCCATACAGCATCTCAGTAGTATTTGTCTCCGATTAATTACCAGCTCAGTGATCCAGTAGGAAGTCAAACCTATGAGTTCAGAGAATAGAGCTTGCTGTGGCCTAGCATCTAGAGACGTTTTTCATGTAAAAGCTTTTGGTTAGACCTTTTGTGTTAGATAGGACTTGGATTAGAGGAAGACGTGCAGGCTGATACTCTGGACAGAAGAAAACACCAATGAAGGAGGAGGGGCTGGATGAATCAGAAGATGTCCATTTCGTGGGGAACTATGAACAGGCAAGACCAGCCTGTCCACTGAAAGAAAAGAAGGGGTGGGCTGAGCACCTGAGGAAGCAAGTGGGCTCCAGACAGTTTAAGGTTGGTGTTGACTTCCAGCCTGAAAGGTTTGTACTTCAGTCCCTCATCTCTAGGTCAGAAGAAAGAGTGACATTTTTCATTGCTTTCTGGTTTGGGCTTTCGCAGTTTTTATGATAAACACAAAGTGAGCAGTAGTGTCTGATTATGATATAGAACAGAAATGGGTTTGCTGGTCATAGGTGCCAGAGAATGAGCAGAAGTTTTGAACATGTCATTCATTCACTTAGTCGTGTCCGACTCTTTACAGCTCCATGAACTGCAGCACACCAGGTTTCCCTGTCCTTCACTGTCTCCCAGAGTTAGCTCAAAATGATGTCCATTGAGTCAGTGATGCTGTCTAACCATCTAATCCTCTGCCGGCCTCTTCTTCTCTTGAACTGCTCCGTTTAACAACCATAGGAGATAGCTAATTGCAAAGTACTTAAAGTTGCATACATGTTTATGTATTTGAAGGAAATAATTTGGAGAACAGTTCAGCTACTAGGTAAAGAACTCTTATGATAGCTAAATTTTACCATCATTAATACCTAAACTTGAACTGAGCTTCATTATTATTATAACTAAACTTTCCAGGTCTATCATTCAGGGTTCAGTCAGAGAAACAGACTAGTAGGAGATATATATGCTACAGGGTGTGTGTGTGTGTGCATGTGTGCATTAATTACAATATATTCTCTTTATTATCAGTGGTTATATTTTGTGAAGTCTCTGAGAACACTGAATCAGTGAATACTGAATCATTACTCCTAAGGAAAATGCAGGATTAGGTTTGGAAGCTTCTGGTCACAACATTTTCATCAACCAGTCAATGTATATAACTTTGTTTTATGAGTGTTTCTGTTTGAAGACACCTTATTTAATGTATAGTTGACTCACTAACATTGAACTCACAGTCCACGGCACTGTCTCGTTCCCGAATGGGACTGACTTCCTGCATAAGATACATCGTTATCTTAACACTTCAGCGTGTACCTGGACACCATTTCAGAGAACAAAATCATCAACAAAAGCACAGCAATGTGAAAAACAGGGCGCTAAGTAGTCTACAAAAAGGATAATTGTTTATAGTACAAAACTGGATCAAGAATTCAAAGCATGACCTTGTTTGACCTTAGTTAGGAATATGCCTGTTGAGCAACTCAAATTTTTATTTTTACCACTTTCCACATGTGCATGTTCACAAATAACAAAACACCATGAGTATTGATTACAAATAAATTTTAATTAGTAGGTGAATTCAGAAATGCGGAATCCACAAATAATGAGGATAGACTGTAGACAGTAAAGGATTTGTTACAGAGATTTGACCTAGGACTGGATCAGATTTGATTGAGCAGTATCTATCAGAATGTCACCTTTACTTGTGATGCTAGAGCTGAGTCTACAGAGCAGACAGCTGTTAAAGGAAGATGTTATATAAAGGGGTGAAGAGCAGGATGAGCTGGAACCCATAACCCTGAGCTGGAGCCCGCAAGGACGGACTTCGATCCGTGCCAGTTCTTGTCGGTGTCCGTGTCCTTGGTGGCATGGCTTCCTGAAGAGGCCAGTGCCCTTTGTCATGAAGCCGATCACTGCCTTGTGCCACCGAGTGGGCCAGCGGCTAAACAGTGTGTGTCAGCCTGAGATGGCTGCTGCTTCACTTTAACCCCCAAGACTTCCGACAGAAGTCTCCCTCTGTGCCAGCCTAAACAGAGATGTGCAGTTTGAAAAGGAATTCTGGGAATCGTAGTTCAACCTAGCCAAAGTGCCTCACCGCAGAACCTCCACAGTGCACCCCTTGGCACTCATATACATATCCTTAAACCAGACAGTCTCCAAACGAAGATATTAAAGCAGTCTTGCTTCCACCTAACATGATATAACTACCCTAAGTACAACTGAATACATGCTAAAAGAGAGGATACAATGCCCTTTTTTTGTCCTTGAATGACGTTCATTCTTCTCACCTTTGATATCCTGTAATTTAATACTGAGAGATAAAGCTGATTACTATTGACACGTCTTACATGAGATGATAAGGAATAAGAGAGAAGAAAACAAAAAATATTTCCTATGTATATTCACATAAAATAGGGAGGAAATGCTCGTAACCATTACCTTCTTCATTTTTTTGCAACTGGTCATGTAGCAGGTATGTATTAACTACCTTCATTCCATATTCTCTTTGCTTTTAGCAAGCACCTCAACTGGTCATGATCCCTTGCCGGATGGGATGCCCCGTATCTTCATTCCTGAAGGGTGTGAGCTATTAGCAGTCCTGCAGGAGTTACATTACAGTAGTTTTCTGTTGACGTTAATCACAGACAGTGTTCAATATTAACAGGTGTCCTGGAGGATTTCCTTCATCGCAGACATACTCCTATTTACTGCCATTGTGTAGCAGCAACTCAGGTTTTCCTTAGTAATCAGGATTAGTCCCCCTAGCCAATAGAGTAGCACTCTCCATTGCTTGTTCATCCAGTGGTATAAGGTAGCAGTTTCACTTTCAGTTCAGTGGAGTCATTGTTGTGATACCTTATGGAAGCCTTCCTCCCGATGCAACCTTTAGACCAACGGAGCCTACAGTCATGGGAATGGGAAGCGGTGGTTTCGCTAGTAGACACCAAGGGTAATGAGGAGAGAAGAGAAGCCAGCCCCAGTTCCCCTCGTTCCTAGATATGATATCAGAGATCTCACAGGCCCCATAACTGAGTGTTCAAACGCCATCCCAGCGTCCTCTGCGGCCCGCTGCTTAAGCATCACGGGGAACGTGGTGAGACCCGTGACTGTTGGCAAACCTCAGGCCCTTTCTCCTCCTCTTGCCTGCCCCCCCGATGGAAGCCAGCTGCCACGTTGCGAGCGCTCACGCAGAGGCCCACATGGCACGGAATCCGTGTCTCTGGCCGAGAGCCAGCGCGGCTCTAACGTCTGCCAGCAGCCAGGTGAGTGACCCTGGAGGAGGATCTGAGCCTTGAGATGATACCAGCCTCAGCCAGCGCTCTCACTGTGGCCTTGTGAGAAACCCAGAGCCAGTCGTCCACCTCAGGCACCCTCAGATCCAGGCCCAGCAGACGCTGGGACTGATCAATGTGTTACCGTCATAAGCCGTGAATTTGGGGGCTGCTTTGTTCCACGGCAGCAGGTAGAACAACAGGCTTAACTTCAACTCTGCTGGTCTTTCAAGCCTAAGTGGAAAGAAACCGTAACTTTTTTTGAGCCTCAAGCTTTGCTTCTCTGACATGTTAGGGTTTAAGAGCAGCTCTTTCAAAAACGGCACTCTAAAGCTCTGTGAAGACAATTCATTCCAACCTCTGCTCCTCCACTACCTCATTAGACTTTGCTGTACAGTTTACCAGAGATAGATATCCACTTTATCACGCTCATTGGATCTTATACTAAGTCGTCAGCTCTTGTCTGAGCTTATACTTAAGCTTATACTATTCAGCTCTTCTCTGATCAAATTTTTCTTAGAACAGAGCTTGCTGCTTTCCATAACCTTCTATTTCTTGTGGGTTTTTATTCCAACAAATGTGACTTAATTCAGAAGGCAATTTCACATGCACTCCACAGCATTTACCGTTATTGCCCGCTTTCTGAAAGCTTCCTTTATGCCTCTTCACTTTTACGAAAGACCTGCGTTAGTACCTGTTTTCAGTAACAGAAAGCTAAAGAGGATTTTTGCTTTCAGGAAGAAAGGCAAAAGCAAAAAATAGTATTTGGTTTCAGGGAGCCATCATAGAGGCAGAAAGTACTTCAAGTGTGGGACCGCCACGGTCCTTCCCTGGGAACTCCACTCCAAACCCCAGCATCACATTGTCATAGCTGTGAACTGTGCCTGTGAGCATCTGTGCCTTATCTCAAATTATTTGGGGGCACTTGTTAGCAAAATGCACCCTAAGGTGGTTGCTGCTTCACTTTATATCATTTGGACTTAACAAAAGTAAGGAGTTACGAAAGTATGAGTTACCCTACTTTCAGATAGTTGGAACCACATGTATCCATTTATTCCTCAAATTCATTGAGCACTTATTTCCAGGTACTGTTCTGGAAGCTGGAACATAGCAGTGTCTCCAGCTATGCAGATAGTATAATGTCCTGCCATGTCCCTAGGACATAGCAGATAGTATAATGAATATCTTTCCCCCCACCCCAAAAAGGGTTTTTTTAAAAAAGCTGTTTCCAGGCCCTCTCCTGCCTTTGAACCTGGCATCAGCACTGCGTGTTTGCTCAGTTGCTCAGTTGTGTCTGACTCTGCGACCTCATGGACTACAGTCCACCAGGCTCCTCTGTCCATGGGATTCTCCAGACAAGAATACTAGAGGGGGGGTTGCAATTTCTTCCTTCAGGGATCTTCCCAACCCAG